CATCGTTTTCAGTAAAGGTAAAATTGTTGCTATGGTTCTACATCACTGTTGTTTTAATTGTTATTACGTCGTTATCATTTCCCATTGACACTCAACCAAAGAGTTGTTGTAATTAATGCTTCACATTAACAGACATTTTAACTACGATAGCTAACTATCATTAGTGACATCTATATACTCAATAAATAAACTAAATTGTGCTAAGGCTTATCTCAAAAATACCAAAGATATTATTTTATGACGAAAGGACAGAGCTATTGAGGTTCAAATACCCGATTCAGATGACAACTAACTAACCAATCAAATCGTTGTTTAAGCGCTAACCAAGTCAATCTGGTCTGATGCGTCTGTAGACTATGTTTGTTGCATGTGACCTGCCAATTAAAGGACATTATTATCTTATTATATTAGTGTAACTCATAATTTTTATTCATTTCGATAAGACACGCAATACTGGTCGGTATGTATATGCGTATGTATAGCTTTCATATAAACTCTGCGGTAGCCAGTATAGCTTTAACAGTCTAGTAGTATACCTGTAGGACAAATTAGATTCCACATAGGTCACAGATTGGTAAAATTCTTTAACAAAATTTACAATACGTCAAATTTATTGAATCTTCTTTCCATAAAACGTGAAAATGAAATGATAGATGAGTCAGTATTTAGGCCGTACGTCATTTCAATATGCGCTACTTTTGTTTGCAAACAAGTAAACTCACATTCATATATTTTTCTAATTATTTTAATCTTTGAACCACAAAAGGTCCAAAGTGATCTACTCCCACGGATGAAGAACCATACCAGCCTTGATACACTAAACGCGGGAAAGTGACACCACCACGTGTTGTCCTGGACTAATCATAAAACCCCCAACAAGTCACACTTTCCCATCACTCTCCTAATTAGGCTGGTTCCTCGCACTGTCTAACTATCGGTGACTTGTCGAAACCCCACTTACTAAATCAAATTAATATACTTTGCCCAATTGAAGTACAAAACACATTGTATGAATGACTGTTATCGAAATACACATATAGGTTATCCTCGTATATTTATTGACTTAAATCACGTTGATGAATAACGGAATTAAATAAGTCAAATACGACAATGGATTTCTGGATACGTATATTTTGTACACTCATTGATTTGTACAGACAATTAGAGGGACGAAGCGAAGCAAAATGACGTGCAGTGGAGAAGGCATGTGAGCCAACTCGATTTTATCAAGCGTTAATCGATATTTGTAATGAGATGAAAATAAGTTAAAGATATGTGATGGATAAGATAGGAAATGCACATACATGCGCTCATATAAAAACAATCCAGGTTGAAAAGCGAATAATTAACAAGGTGTAAATGTGCTTTAAAAAGAATTAATAGACTGGCTTGTCCAGAAGCTAGAATAAACTACAAGAGTTTAACTAGCTCCGACAACACCTTGAGCCATAGCCTACACCTGTGATGTATTATATACAGAGTCCCTGATATTTCGGTAATATGAATGATCTCATTGTTAATGTGTCAATACGTGCATCTACTCTAAACTTTAATGCTAAGGTCATTACATAAGATTTCAATTACTCTGGAATAAACTGAAGTACTGGTAGTTATCAGTCATGTTTTGATGGATTCTCAGTGGTGGGTTCGTACTCCAAAAAGGCGAGATAAAATATTTGATATCATCCCACTATATATACAAGTAAACAGTGAATTTGAAAGCAGTAACCATCCAATAGTAATTTTGCTCTCCTGTTCTTTCCCTCATATAACCAACTCATACAAAGTCCATCGATATAGGGATTACAGACATGCTAACTGAGATCTTTAGCACTCCCTGGTGAGATTCTCAGAGTGGGATACCTTCCTCTCAAGTAGTAGTCTTGTGGATGCTATTGAAACATTCTATCTTATCACCAACTCATGTTTAGATTCCTGTGCACCTCCTAATATGTACAGGTTAAGTAAACCTAACGACTTGTTTGTACCAGCTAAATATCGTAATAAATCAAGACACCAGAAGAAATGCTATATTAAGTCAAACGATTTACATTAGCCGCACAAATAACTATAATTTTCAACTAATTAAAGAAAAGAACAGGTTAAAAACTATTAATGAGGAGCTTTAAACATTTAATAATATCTCAAAAGTACAAAACTTAATTTTCCTTGACAATACACACGTTAGAACAACTCAAAATGTCGATATATCATGCAACTTGCATAATGGAGCTTTTATAAATGACTCTAAAACTATTGCAAACCTTCTCAGTGATTTTTTGGAGCGATAATGAATTCCTAAATAAAACTGTTTTGAAGTCATGTACATAACTAGTAAATCAGTAAAATCTATCACCGCCACATGCCTAAAATTAGTAAATCTATAAATTCTCCTAAGGTTTCAAGCGGTCAAGAAATGTATAGGATTTCATCCTTTCTCTACAAATATAGTGGATCAGATGTTTCACTTCTTCTAAAGCTGTTCACTATCTCTCTATGGAAACAGGTACTTACATTTATTGTTGGAAAACGGCATATAGCACACCACACTACAAATCTGGAGATAGGACTGAAATGAACAATTATCAGCCCATAAATATTGCTCCATTTATATCTAGGATTATGGAAAGAATTTTTGATGAACCCACGAACTATTTACTCACTGAAAATCTCATCAATGATTCTCAACATAGGTTTCTTAAAAGTCGATCTTGTATGACCACTTTAATTTAGACTTTACTCAAGGTAACCGAGAATGTATAGTTTTAGAAATATACTTTGACATTTCTAAAGCTTTTGGCATGGTTAACCGCCAGCTTCTTATAGGCAAATTCGTATCTAACTGGATCAAAAACCCTGTGCTTGTTTGGAACCATATTTTCCCTACCCACCAACAACAAATAGCCGAAATGAACTCCCCGTTGTTGAATTCTGTTCCGGTCAAAAACGGTGTAATACAAGGTAATGTCTCAGGCCCTTTGCTATTTTTAGTTTATATCAATGATATTTGCGATCGCTCTTGTATGCAAATAACCTCAAAGTAGTGTATTCATTCCCCCCTCATGAGCTGAACAATATGCAAAACTGCATAAATATGGAGCTCAACAAGGTAGCCCAGGGATTCTCAAAATAATAGTTGGAGCTTAACTTAGCTAGATATGCTTCAATAATACATCAATCAACTTAGATCTTACCATAAATGGTAAAGTTTTATGTAAGTTGCTTACCGTAGTGAACGTAGGTACTCCTAGAATTTGTTGTTCACAGAATAGGTCTCGAAACACTTCCATGTCCCAACGTCCAATGAATTACATAATATGTAAACTTTATAATAATGAGCCGAGTATTCTGATGTATAAACTCCTAGAACGTTGCATGTTTAATCATAGTAATGTTCGCATAAAGGATAAATTAAGGTCAGAATCCGTTCACACACGATTTACTAGCTTTGATACAAAAAGCGCGCGGCACAGATCTTATTAGACAAGAATCTCTTTGATAACCGAGCTATATTATACTATCCAACTAGCAACCAAGAGCTAACTATATTTGTTGGTTAGTCCGGAAATCACATGCCACAACTGTTGGATTAATTAGTCAATAGGATTACTCTACATACATAACAAAAATTCATTGATGGTAAAACGATTGATCATCAGAATTATTTGCCCCATGGTTCGAAAAGAAGGCATTTAAACCTAAGGTTCACTAAGTTCTGATTAATCTGAACATTCACATTTAGAAAAAATTCATGGTGAAATCCCATAGTAATTGTTAGATATAGACGAATAAATGGAAAAGGTGGAATTTCAAAGAATATGTTAGGAATTATTATTATGTATATATGTTTATTGTATATTAAATAGATATTTGGATTGTGGTATTTTTTGGTATTGTCTTCATTATAAGCTTTTATTCAGCTCATCAATTGATAAGATATCTTTTAGTGCTTAAAAAATAGTTAACCAATTATATATGTTACTCAGTTTGTAACACAGAAGACTTACTTATGTACAGATTGTGATCGCTTATTTACAGTACATTATAGTGTCGTTATTGATGCATAGTATCATATGATTCATAGTACTGCAAAGAAGGTTGACTAGCTTTCCTATGTTCTGATTGGGTAGGTTGGAGATAGCAAAGATTTGAATCAACCAATGAACGTCAGAGAACTTAGTGAGCATATTGGTTAGTCAGCCAGTTACAACGTAGGACCAGGCGCATACATACATTGTTCCAAGTTGCCATACCTCATTATCACAGCAAGACGAACACCGGATTCAAAGAAGCAGTTAACTCAGTGGTGGTAAGAACTACTTCGTAGAAAGAAAGATGTGAAGCGATCTTAATCTCATAGTTTAGGGGAAGACAAAGAGTGTATACACCTTCGTCACTGTGATCGATTCTGAGCCATGTCACCTACAGTCTCCAACCATCAGTTACGACAGTCGTGCAGATATCAACCAATTAGTCTGCATCTAACAACATGGCTCAGACAAGAAGTTAATGACTTTAATGATTGATGCCACGTTTTGGTTTGGCCGCCCTTAAATTTCTTCGAACCATTCCCAACACCAGTTAGCATTGCGCGTTGTGGTAATCGGTGTTCAGGCATACACAACACGTGGCCCAACCATCTCAGTCGATGACGATTCACAACCTCATCAACTGACTTACCATCATTCTCTAAAATCTTGCGTCTAACCTCACTATTACTTACCCGGTGATCCCAGTAGATACGTGCAATATTTCTAAGGAATCTGTGGTCAAATACTAGTAGCTAACGAATATCTTCTATTCTTAATGTCCACGTTTCTCAGCCGTAAAGTAGGACAGAACAAACTGCTGCGCAGTATTCTCATCCGTCAATTGATATTGGTTAAATGAAATATTATTAGTATAGTCGACATGAAACGGAATGAACACTTATGAATTCAATTATTTGGTGATTCTACTAAGTGGACTATGTAGTATGCTATTTCCCATTTAAATATCACTTTAAAAAAAGATGATGATTTTTTGTTTTCCAAAACAAATACAAATATATAATGGCGCATTTTGTATGTTTTCTTAAAACTGGTCTCAAAGTTAATACAACTTACTAATAATTACCATAAACAGTAACCATTAGAAAATAGTTCAGAAAGAGAACAAAAAAATGACCGAGGAATGATACATATTTACAGAGAAAAGTAAAAATTAAAAAAAAACTTTTTTCTTAAAAAAAAAGTAAACTAGGAGCTTTATTATGTTACATCATGCTTAATCTATTTTGTAATTAACAAGTCATTATTATTTTGTAATAGAAAGAAAAGAAGTACAAATTGAAAATTAAACAAATCAGATAAATAACTTCTGAAAATTTTTACAAAAAAGGGTAAATTCGAAAAAAAAGAGAAAAACAAGTAAAATATAACTAAATATGTAGAGAGTTTTTGTTTAGCAACAAGGAAATATACTGTGATTTAAAAACAAAGAGAAGAGAAAAACAAGCACTCATGGACAACAAGAGAAAATACGATGATGAATAACAGGTATAATCAATACTTTTTAAATGAATGGATGAATGAATGGGATCTGAGCTAAATTATATGCGTAAATGTAAATTTCAATGAATAAAATCACTTAAAAGAGCCAATTAATAATAATGATGTATAATACTACTTACTATCCAATGATTATTAATATAAGTAGTATAATTTTGTTTGATTTATTTAGTTAAATGAATATCAGAATTTAAACTATGCTCATAACATAATGCAGCTAGTTCAAAACAGAATTCATCAAAAATAATTGAAGCAAATACTAAATTTCGTGTTTTTATTGAAATATCTGTTGTTGGATCTGAATAAAATGGATTATTATTATTATTATTTATGTTTTCATTATCCATTGAATGTTTCACATTTACATCAACTTCTTCATCAGATCCTGAATTTGTTAATTTAAATTTGTTATTGGTACAATTTTGATTAAAAGAAGAAGAAGGAACAGATGTACGATTACCTTGATGAAGTGATGCACGTTTTAATACTGGACTTAAACCGATACGACTTGTTAAATTTAAAAATTGATTTACACGACTACGACTTCTATGACGTAAATTTAAATTAATACTTCCACCACTGACAGAACTACGATGTAAACGTTCTGAACTAGTTTTATTATCATTATTCACTGGTAATGGATATGTAACAGGCAATAGTGGAACAACATGTTGAAGTGAATCTTTGTTAACAGTATTCAAAGGTGAATGATGATTTGAATTTGTAGGAAGACAATTTTTTGATAAACAGGTAGAAATGTTTTTCTTGTCCTCAGATACACCTAAATACAATGAAAAAACATAATGAATTAGTGTTAGTTTGTCAACTTTGATATTTATTGTAAATCGCATTTAAGCAGGGATAATGTATAAAGTATTTAGCCAATACAGTGAATAAAAGAAAAATATTTAAATGAAATGTTAAATAAAAGGGGAATTGAGTGATACCTAGAGCCTTTCCCGTAAGTGTAGGAAATCTATGTATAAAAAACCATCAACCAATCCTTCTTAAACCACGGTCATTACCTTTAGTCTTACAAATTTTTTCTCCCACCTTTTTAAACGTTCATTATAAACTAAAATAGTCTTGTTCTCAAAGTCTGTCAACAAGCCAATTTTCTTGAGTATTAAGGGTTTGCAACTTTTAATTATTGGTAATTAAGGACTGTAATTGATCAGTCGCTAACAGTATCATGAGCTAACTGCGTTGTATACAGTTAAATCATAAGTTTTAATATATTTAGTATGAGACAAGTAGTGATATCCAGAACGCACAGGTACACACAGCAAACGAGTCTCAAATGGGATTAAATGTGCGTCGCGAGTTCCACTTCTTGCTGCAATTCAACTTTGCTAAAAACTTGTGAATGTTTCACGATAAAGAATATTTCCAATATCTTTTAGACATGGCTCAGCCACCATCTACAAACATGTAGGACTGGCTAGCATAATAATAAGTTGGGAACGGTCAAACGTGAACATCAATCCATAAACTCGTTCAACAGTGAAACGAGTCATGTCAGAAAAAGCAAACCACATATTTGGGAATCATGACAGTTGTAAGCTGTGCTTAGAAACCATAGGTGATATGATTTGAAATGTCACATTGGAGCAAGTACATTCTTTTCCAAATTTTGAGAATATTAACTGTATTTAATTTCTTTAATGATCCATAATTTGTTTCGAAGTATACGTCAAATATTTGCTTCGCCACTGTCATTCAATTTCGTCTGGTTGATCTCCCCTCTCTATATATATCTGTAATGGTCTATGCAGGTTGGTTAGTCAGTGTATATTTCTCAGTCGTACAAGACGTTAGTCACTCTCCAAATAGCTCAGTGACAATCTCTCAGAGTGTAAAACTAAATCACTCGGGTTCTAACCGACTAGAGGTTATCCGTCCCCTCAAGATTATAGTTACGCTTTGCTAATGAGCACAAACTAGCACGAAACCTTAACTGTGTAGAGTTCACCAGAATATGATGTGAAGAGTCTGTCGTCTCCAGCTGTTGATCATTGGAAAATATAAATTCGAAATAAAAATTGAACAATTGTAAATCGCTCTGAACACACTAGTATTACTTAGACGTTGTGGTCACTATCGATATTAAAACGGTGGATATATTTCTGAAGAACACCAAAGTTGTTGAATCACACAAATCCACACATTGCTAACGTACCTTTTTTACTATTATAAGTAGTATTTGATTTATATCCTGTCGTTGTTGCCATCATTTTAGTTTTAGTACGTTGTGAATTCTCTCTTGTTGTATAAAAATTTGGATCAATTGTCATCTTGAAAGGACCTGGCCAGACAATATTTAAATAAACACGCGCACGAAACACAAGTGATTTCCATTGTTCAACAGATTCCGAAGCGACTACAATTTGACTATGCACAGATCGGAGCACCTGAACACGATGGATAATGAAGAGAGTGATGCACAAAGTTTAAAAAGATTTAAGGAAGTTGGATTGATAAAAATATTTTAACAAACATCAGTTGCCTTGTAGCAAGAACTAAATGCTTGGAATACTAAATCGCCATACATTTGGTTGAAGTTTAGAAATGTAAAACAACGGATGATTGCCTAGTAAATAATGGTAGATATATCCAGTTATGAGACTACTTTATTGTGTAAAGTTGAGTGACCCTACGTTTACTGATTTTTACTTTATAGTAATAGATTTACATTCTTATCTAATCTGGTTCTTGATTATTGGCTAGATAATTGAGTCGAGTTTGCCAAATGATCTAGCATGACGATCAATCTAGTGTCCCAGTGAACATCAATCAAAAAGATTCTTTTTTCCTTACAACACTAAATAAATAACCGCTATGCCTTAATGCTAACTTACCAAGTACAAACTAATGTGTCAGGCTTTGCTCAAACAACACTAGTTGTAGTGAAATTAGATGTATAAATTACCTGGTAGGTGGTTCAAATCAACGTAATACCCTATCCCTAACCCTGACATGGCTTACTCAATGGTCCAAAAATACACGGGCAATGTTAAGAAGTCGTTAATGATCGAATACTAATAACCTACGAATATCCTCTATTCTTAGTGGTCATGTTTTACACTCAAATTAAAACTGAGCGAACTGCCACACAATAAATTCGTCGCCACAAGTGACGTAAGTCGGCAAAAGCCAATCGATCTTTCTGAAACTTCGTTAGACACCAGCCCACTAGGAAAAATGAAACCCTCAAGATAAAAGGGGACAATACACTCAACCACTTCACCCCTTATCATTAATTCAGTAAACGGCATAAAATGAAAGTACAGATGAATGACAACTTCAAAGCAATACTTCACTATTAAGTCGGCCTATTTCCCTTCCTAGTCAATCGCTGAAAAATGTTGAATAAATAAAATTAAAACACGAATTTCAGCGAAGGGATCTCTTTTCAACGAATTTATTATCAAGCTGTACAATCGTATATATATATATATATATATATATATATATATATATATATATATATATATAAACTATCTGGATAAATTGATCATCAAATAATAATAAATGTATATTTAAAACGGTGAAAAACTGCAAATTCATGGTGACAGGTGGGAGTAATGTTGATGGTTCGTTATAAGATTATGATATTTAGGTGTGTTTGTTACGAGTTCAGGCTATATCACTTACTACCTTTGTGAGCAAACAGAACACACAATTACAAAAAGTTACATTTATTCATACCGGTAGAAAAATACAGTAAATATTTGGTATTACATACTTTATAAAGAGTGTTAACAGATGGTTTTATACTTAAACCAATTGGATTCAATAGGTATTCATATAATAATGGACATGGATAAGAGGCCAATGCAGCAAATATATCAGTTAGAAGGAGATTAGTGAAAAAACAATTATTGTGCATATTAGCCAAACGATTTAAGAGTATGGACAAAAATGGACCTAGTATTTTAATTGAAAAAAAGAAAACAAATTCAAAAAGCATAATGCTTAAGTAATGAAAATGAATTCATTTTATATTGAGATAGTATTGTTGGAGTAGACGAAAACTCAGGTGAGAAAAACCACAAAATCACATAATGACTTGATAAAGTATGAAAATCACACATTAAATACATCATTTGCACATCATTGCGTTGTACTTTACATACTCCATTATTCCCTTAGTTCTGTTGCTATTTCGATTGCTCTCCAATTTACTTCCTGTTTTCTTTATTTCAATCTGCTGGCAGGCATTTCACTTCCTATTGCTGTTATATACTACTTATATCTATCAACATAGGTAGCATACGCCACACTATTTTGCAGTTAGAAGCTTTAATGTTTCATTATTTCTTTGTTGTGAGATATGGTGCCTGAGAGTTGACAGTGCTACGAAATCTTCCTATGCACAAGTTCAACCTATTACTTAAGCGAAATTACGGATAGTGAGAAAGGAAATTTGTTGATTAACTGATTTGGCATATAGATTAGAAAATTAAGCTACCAAAGATGCATTTCTCATTCCTCAGAAATGAAAGCTGTTTCTTGACCAACCACGTGCAGTTGTCATTTATACAATTCCTGATTGCCTCAATGTATCGTTAGTCATAAGCAACATAAGCAACATGCGTTAGCTCAAGCTGTCATATAATATTGGTATGCTGAGATAAAACTAACGAGATAAATCGCAAACGAGATTTAAATAGTTTAGTAGAAACGACTATGAAAGAAATTAAACATTAGGAATATGGCACGAAAAGGCAAAATGAAAAGTATACTTAAAAGGATAGTGGGATTCAAACCCAGGATCTTCAGTCTCGAGCGCGGGGGTCGTGGATGTGCACTGTCGGAGTCTCATACTAGGACGAAACGGCCGCCCAGTTCTTCCAGGTTTTCTATGGTGGTCTAGCTTTAATTGACCCATGAACTCAACTATCAAGTTATTTAGCTCATGAGTGCTGCTGTTTAGAGTGCTCTGTTGAAGATACAAATCATTTGTTGAAATTTTCGCACCTGTAATAAACCACGACATATAAAATACATAACCTTCGATTACCGCGTTATACTTCGATAGTTAACATGAGGAATAGAGCAGAACAGCTCTTACGTAATTAGGATATGACAATGGTAGCTTATAAGGTTTCAGATGGTTGTCTCGAACCTTATGCATAAATGTAAGCAAGGCAATTGCGTACCAATGATCGAGGATTGTAAATGGTATATACTAAAAGTCACACTTGAATGTATCTTTGTTGTTCAGTGGTTTGAATGTCTGATTTATAACCAATGGTCGGAAGATTCAAATATGATTAATGCAGGAGATTTATAGTAAGTATTGAATTACATGTCATTAATTTAATATTTAACATCATGACATAAATTTGAACTACAATCATTATCAGCACACTTACCTATACCGCCAGCGACACCAACTGAATTTGAATAATGTTTCGCAGATTGCGTCGATGAAGTTGAAGAGAAATCTGTTAAGTGTGAATGATTACTACAACTACTATGACTCCCTGAATGCTGACATTGTTGTTGGCGTATTGAGTCAAGTCTGTTCAATGATATCGAATCCAAAGCATCATTACATGATCTAACCATTAACGAAGATAATAGAGGAGATTGTAAGAGTCTAGATTTTGTCTCAGCATTATTGTCACCCTCATCTTCGTTATCACTACAATTATGACTAAGATTATCATTCTTAGTTACAGTAGTAGTTTTTGTTGTACTACTAACAGTATCTGTTTCAGTAAATTCCATTTTGGAATTTTCGAATTCATGTATATAATCATCCAATTTTTTAAAAAATTCCTCATCAATTTTGCTGTAGGAAATAAATGGTGGCAAATGTCCAAAATGTTTTGTACAACGTCCTGGTGATGGTAAACAATCTAATGCAGCTAAAAAATTCTCTAATTCATATTCTTGTCTTTCATTAAAATCAGTTTTTGTACACACTGTGGTGGTGCATGAAACGACATTACTATTATGTAATTCTATACTTGGATCTAGATGAGCTAATCTTAGCAAATCTGGTAACGTTGATAAACAAGTACACGGTGTAGAATTTGTGGATGTGAGATTATATGGTACACTAGAGCCAGTGTTATAACACCCTTCTTCATGATTGTCCATTTTTAATGTTGTCGAAAATACTGATGATTGTGTTTGTGGTTGTTTATTGTCCATAGTTGTTGAATGAAATGATTCTGTTGAACAAGAATTGGATAACTGTTTATCAGTTGGCGAACGTGAATTAATTGTCTTATCAAGGGTATCAGTTTCAGAGACAGTCGACTCAACATTATTAACAGCGATAAGAGTCGTGTCATTATCAGTAGTATTTGAATTGCTAGATTGTTTCATATTCTCTTGATTACTTTCATCATCTGAAGAATCATTTATATAATTTAATTGATATAAAGATGAAGTATGTTTCCTGGATAAACTATGCAATAACAATGGTGATGACAATGACATATCATCACATACACTGTTCCATTCGTTTTTGCTACCACTGTCGACTATATCTGGCATAAATTTTGTACGATCTCTAGCTGACAATCCATTAGGCATTGAGTCCGGTGTTACACAACCACTACTATTTGTATATTTCGACGAATGGATCGTTCTATACAAATCACAACGTGATCGTTTCTCTTGTAATTCTAATAAATTATCATCTTTTACTAACGATGTTGCAGATTGATTCCCTTTATTATTTTCAATCATTTTTGGCCAATACTGTGAACGCCATGATTTAAAAGCTTGACGTCGTCGTGATACACGTAAATTGGCATTTTTAATATAATTTATTAATTCTGGATAATTATTAGCCACTAAAATAGGATGGAGTGGTGTTGCACGAATAACAACCCATTCGTTGTTTAATGTTTTGTTCAAATCATCATCATCATCATCGATTGATTCGCTATTAAAGTTGTTTGAACGATTTAAACTTGTTAAGGGATCGATTGTAGGTATAGAGTCTCCATGACCACTGAATATGACTTCTTTCGAAACATTACACAGTTTTTCGACAGGACTATTACGATGAAACAATGATTTAAGATTATAAAATGAGAACATATCATTATATATATAAAGCAAATCGTCTAGTCTATATTAGCATTGTCTGAAGTAAAACTGTTCAAAATAGACCTTTTTATCTTAGGCATAGCTAACCCAGAAAGCAAAGTCATATTTCCACCAAAAGCTCTGTAGACTAAGAGAATGTTACTTAAATAAACATCTATTGAATGTAACGGTAATTAGAACCTCTTCAGAAATAAAGCAAATAAATAAGCTTATTAAAATAATGATGAAGTAATCAGAGAGGTGTCTTAAGAAGTGAAAAAGTGAGATCCGACACTATCTGTTTGTCAAACATTGACACACTTATAATGATAAATACGATTTGAAATAATAAAGCATATTATAATGAGGCGGTGATTAATTTTTTAAAACGGTCTAAGGCATTTGATAACAAGTTCAAGTCTGAAAGGCTGTGTGAGCACAAACTTCTGACGTGTCTGTGTTCACATGGCATCTCAGGGTCAAAAGATAGTCGGGAAATTATAAACGAGGCATGGTATTGGAAGAATTAGATTATGCAGTTACTCAATGACTCAGCCCACATGTCTTTGTTCGAGTAGGAAGGATAATTGAAGTGGTCTTATCCAATTCTTTGGAGCTGATGATCTTGAGTGCTGCTAGAGGTGTGAGAGTAGTTGTCGCTTCTTATTCGCACATACCGTAGAGAGATACTTTTTATCGAGATATATGAGAAAACTGAAATAAGGGTGGCTTTGATTGCTTGGGAACGTGACCCCAGAGGGATAACTGTTTGAGGTTGATTGCATATGACCTTTTCATGAGTAGTTTTATATGTCTTAGCTTCGTACTTTCAAGGCTTTATTGCAGGGATGAAATGAGGTTTGTTATTTTTTAACAACCCACTTTTTCTAACCACTTTATTCAGTTATGCGGAGGCAGCAAATATGCAGATGCTCGATAGAAGGGAAACACCTCACTGCAGTCAAGCTTTTAAACAGTCAGAAGTACGATGTCATCCTCAAACTTCGTTTTTCTGCTTGCAGTCTTACAACTCTGCAACTGACCTTTCTGAGATGGTAGGACCTAAAAGAACGAGTAGTCCGACCGACATAACTTGATCGGTTCATTAAAACAGACAATCTCCAATCTCATCTCTAAGTAGTAGCTGAAGTCGAACCATTTAATAAAAAGAAGTATATGCCATCAGAAAAAGTCAACATACCAGTAAGATATACTTGATTTTTGCCTCTTCTCGTTCTTTAATTGTGTAGTGCCAACTTCAGAATTATTTGTTGTTGTTGACTGAGATCTGGATTTCGAAAATTTATCACTACAAGATGATGTATTGGCTAATGATAAAAATAATTCAGCTGATTTAACAAGATGTGGGATTAACTGATCCACCGTAGGATGATAATAAGTAGTATGTTTAACGGCTGATCGTGGTGAAGTAGACCAAAGTAGTTTTGGTTGTTGTGTTGTACCATTGTTGGATAAACATAATGCAGATCCAGTCAGTAGAGTTTTATGAAATCCATTTGATGAAGAATCAAACCTTTCAGAATCTAAATGATTCAAAGTTAGTAAATGCCTAAGAAAGGGAAGTGAATAGGAAGACTAGCGAGTAAAAAAATAAAATTAACGATTTCAAAAATATGACAAATAGATATGAGAATGTGAACAGAAGATTATTTAATCTTATTATGTGATTGGTTATGAATTAGAAGTTCTAGTCAGTAACCAGAATCAGTAGATGTTATCCAACCTGAAGGCGGGACAAGAACTCACCAATTAGGTAGGACGAAACAAGTATTGTGTTAACAAATACACTTGATCTCGAAAATGTTTTGTATGGTGGGTATAGATATTTGAGAAGCCCCATAACATGCACCCGAAGTAATTTCAAAAAACAGCTTAGAATAATCGGTTGTTGATTTTAAATCTTTTATTTGCTGTAATAAAATGATAACATTATTTTCATTCGGCTGAAGGTTATTCGCAACGTTTTAAGTCCGCTATATCCAGTATTTTCAGTCATTTTCTTGTCTACTTAATCGATGAGCTGTGTATATTTAAGTTTAATTTTCATTAAAGATTTCATTTTCTAGCCCTGATTACAATGACAATGACAGATACATATTTCTAGGCGCTTAAAGTGAAATCTTTCGTGAAAGTTACACTCTAACATGCAGCACACACCGACGAAATAAACGAAAAAATTGACGAAATTGATGGACATAACACAATGAATCAACATTGAAAATGTTGGGGATAACTTCATCTTTTCTGTTATGAGTTATGACCACTACATTTTATAATCTTACAAACTATCTAATTTATTTCACCATTATTTCAACACAATTTGATCGAGTTCATTCATGAAACATGTAACAATATTGAACTAAGTTACTATCATTTTTGTTCTCGTTGTATAACACTATCATGTTTATTTTTATTAGTTGTTTATAAAATCATCAACAATGAAAAATGAAAACATGTTACCATATAAACAACACCTTCTCTCTCTCCCTCCGTGTGTGTGTACGCGCGAAAAAAAATCAATTTCAAAATCCATATCACAAAAATGGAACATAACAGTTTGTTTGATCAAAAAGCACATGTCTTGTAAGAAACACATGATTATCATTAGTTAACAAGCTATAAAATTATCCATATATATTCAAGCTGTTAACTATCTTTTTAGATATTCTATATTTATTCAAATTATGTATATAATCTACAATGATCACGATCATAATAGCGTTCAATCAATTTCTTTTTTAATAATAGTCAATCGCTATGACAGGGGTTTGTTGTAATTGGAGTGATCAATTGGAGAGTCAATTAATGAATTCAATGTATACATCACTTAGATATTAATTACGTTAATAATTAAGCATATTATTAACGTTCAGGTGGGTTTTGTGGATATTATAGTAATTTCAATGGTTAAGATCATGAGTCAGTTGAAGCCGTCCACTGCTTCCAGGTTTCCCATGGTGATCTAGCTTCAACTGACTCATGATCTTAACCATTGAAATATTGTTAAATGTAAGATTAAAATCTTAGCAATAGAAAAAAAGTTCACATGACTGAACTTAATCAGACAACTAGGAAGCACTAGACAATAGCTTGTCTTTAGTATGAGACTTCTCAGATGAGTCAATGATATCAACACTCTATAGTAAGTAATTTAGTAATCTTTAAGTTTAATAAGTAGTAATTCAAATTTATTTCACCAAGTGAAGGTTTAAAATTTCAAGTTAGTTTTCCTTTAAAGACTGATTGATATAATTTGGAAATGATCAACGCGAAATACCATGGCCGATTGACTGACGTTGACAAAAGGCGGATGATTATTGATATTCAACTCTGTGTTCTACAAATATAGTGGTTATCCTGAGATTTAGTGATACTAAGTTTGATCTTGTATGAGATTGTGACGTAGTAATACGAAAAAACTATTTAGTCTAACCCCTACATTAACTGACATCATGGAGTACACAAATTTCACACTGAAACACATCTATTTAACCGTGTATTTTAGTGAGTCTGTGTTAAGAGACTACCAGCAAATGAGAGATTTCCCTGAATGGTTTGGAAGGAATCAAATACGGACAACACGCAACCCCATTTTATCTCAATTGGTAGACAGTGGTCATGTGGTAGATGGGACTAAATCATTTAAGTAACCGACCATATAACCTCGTTTTCCGCCGATGTTAGATCTTTTATTGTACATACAGCAGGAGCTTAAGAGATGCAAGACAACAACCTGATTCTGAGTTCAGAGGAGCTTTGTAATATGCTTGTCTCTTCCTTGTTCTGATAAAACTTAACAAACGATATTACTTCAAACATCCATAGTTTGTTTATTTTTCTTCACTGCACTTCTTATTTATTCTTCACTATTGATATATCTATACTGCTTATTTGCATATTTCTTACTACGCAATTTTTATGTTTCTTAATGATTTTTATATTTATTTATTTAGCCAGTTTTTGGTCAGCTTCGGATATTGAAATATCTACTCAAACTGTCATCATTCTCATCATTAGTACAACTGCCATCTTACTATGAAATCGTACTGATCGCATGTGAATAGTTAAATAGACCTTTTTCATTGCTATCATTGACTTATAAACTGCTTTGATGGGTTCAGTGGTTTTCGTGTATCTATATAAATATTACTGTATATTAAACGTTGTTAGGATCAGGAACCGATCAAAGTTGAACAACCATTAAAAAACTAAAAGCATTGAACAGTTCGTTGGCTAACTGAAATCAGTTCGTGATCTCAGTAACATTCAATAGTCTCAACAACTTCATACATCAAAGCCTGACAAAAATCTAACTGAAGTGTTTTTCATTAATATGCGTTGTTCTAAATTTCACGATGGGGAGATCTTGGGTTTGATCCCCAGGTGAGATGGAGACTAATGAGTGACCCATACTGGTAAGAAACCGCTGTCCAGTGCTTCATGGATTCTAATGGTTATCTGACGAAGATCAACGAGTAGTGTTATCTATGAAAGCAATATTATTCGTATATATATGTTGTTTACGTTTGACGATCACTTTCAATAAACTAAAGTACAAAGAGTAAAATGGATCTCACACCTGCTTTTGTGAAGCAAAATATAACTAGATTTCTATGGTCAAGTTCATTAACCATATGAAATACCATAAGAGTAATATTGGTGTTGTATCCGCCGCTAAACGATATAAATTTACATATCATGGATATTATCAATTATGATTGTATTAATATAGATATGTGATAGGTCCACAACTCGATTACTTGACATTGACTTGCTAGATCTGTAGACTTCTCTCATACTTGAGCTCAGTATGGCAGAGAAAAGACGCAAAGTAAGGAAAAAAGTTTTACTTCAAGATTCATAAATGTACAAAAAACAAGCATATTTATAGGACTATTAGCAATCTTTATCATCTGGAAGCATGCTAAATTAAGTAAACATCGAAGTTATCCTTACCAAAAATAAGTAACATTTGTTAACAAACAACAAGAAAACCCACATTTCTTGATAAGTTCATCAATTTATTTCTAAACTCCGAAAAACTTAAATAAAGTAAATGAAGCAAAAATCTAATCATGAGATTTAATGATTCGAAATGATAGACACTTAAGCTGCATTGAACTGATTTTTGTGCACAAAACTTATAGTCATACATATGTTAGGTGAAATTTACGAGTTTTTGATTGAGATCATGAACCGATTGACGTTAGACCACCAATGAAAACCTGGAAGCACTGGACGATGGTTGAGGTTAGGCATTAAGACCGTTGGATGCCGGCTTAGTAGTCTGGAGGTTAAGCGATCGCGCGCAAAACTGAAGGCCCTGGGTTCGAATCCCGCAAGCAGGATCGTAGATGTGCACTGCTGAGGAGTCCCACAATAGGACGAAACGGCCGTCCAGTGCTTGCAGGTTTTCAATTGTGATATAACATCAGTCGGTTCATGATTTCAATCAAAAAATTAATAATCTCCACAACCCCATACTGAAAATTTACGTATAACAGAAGATTGAAATAAGTTACAGGAAATTTCGAATCCATGATGTGGTACGTTAAATTCAAACACCTAGTAGAGTAAACAACAAACGAGCATAAATGTCTGTAACAATGGAGTCTATAGATGGTCCAGAGAGAATATTTGGTATGAAAATGTCAGAATTCATATAGTGAATTCTTAGTATTCTCATCAAAAAGTTATAATAGTTAAGAAATCTATTAAGAGTAATAAATAAATCAACTCACTTGAATATTAACTCATACATAACATCTTCACAGTGAAAGCTTAATATTGTACGAAATAAGGATAAAGTGACCATCCCAAGCTGAATTAAAAGGAAAATCAGGAAAATTTATGAACAGTTGTGGAGAAGCAAGGATTTAAAAAAAGGACAAAACTAAACCAATTGTGTGTTTATTGAGTAAGAAACCTTCGTTTCAGAAATGAAGCAACTAGAGAGTTTACAATTTAGTTAAATCAAGGTACGAACTAATCGGAAGTTGGATATTATTGATGAGAGTACTATTTTGCATGCTATCTTTTTTCATTACCAATCGAAATCTGGTGATAATCCTTAGGAAGAAAAGAGACATGCACAGGTTAATTAAACAATCAATAACCGAGATTTACAACTGATTGATCACGGGATAGAATCTGGCAGAGAGCATCAGTTCCCTCAAAATATACTCGGCCATGAGCTACTTCTTTTACTTGAGATATATTGATAATACGCACCTGCAAAAACTGAAGAAGGCGAAGAAAGATTTGAACCTACGACCTGTCAGTTAAAAAGCGAGTATTCTCACCACTACGCCAGTCACTCCATATTATCTAATGATCTTGATTGTTTTTCTCAATTTAATTATTTCAATCACTATCATAGAAGATAAAGGACTTACATTCAAACATGAAATTACTGATTTGATTACTACTAGTAATGCATTTTTCTGGAAATTAACTTCATTGAATACTAGAGTAAATTAGAAATAAATGTTTTCTTATACCTCATTTTGAACGCTCACGTAAAGCAAAAGACTGTCTATATAATACTGTATGACATCCGTGTCTTAATAATTAAAGCAATTGACTGGTAGATTTTAGGTGAGAAATCCACTATACCTATTTTGATTTCGACAAATGGACAATAAGTAAAAGCTCAAATACACAATGCACCTCGAAGTCGAGTACATAAACTTATAGTTAGTATATGAGTTACTTCAAATTATCATTAAATAGATGGAAAGATAGATGGGCAGTTCATTATATTATTTTATTTGAACACATATATTGGTACAAAGGGGCACCGAATACATATGCGCCATACAAGTCACTTGATTTGTGTATGAGCTGTGATACTGCTCGGGTGCCCAGATCGAAGCACGTGGTTTTCTTAGGGTGCCACACCCGGAGCCTTCGACCTAAGGGTCTGATCCACAAGGTAATAGAGCAACGTAAGGAGATGCAGTCCCATGGTAGCCGGTGATCAACGATTGGTTCATACGCCATTTGTTCTTTCAGTTTTCTAGAGTCCATGTTCACCATTGGTTTGGAATGAGGGCTTTCCAACTCTCCTAGGCGGATCCTCCTTATCCACCAACCCGGTTAAAGCACAGAACATTCGCTCTTAGTCATTCTTATTTCGTAAACAACATCCCCTTCGCGAGAAGGCAGTGATTGTACATGCGAGAGCACTTTGCGTGAGAGCAGACTCTCCCTACCCTCAGCCGTACAAGGGCATTTGGGGACAGCTGGTCAATGCTAATAACAAGAGTCCAAGATTAGTGACTTGAATTTTTGTAGTTGTTTGGAATTTATTAATAAGAAAGATGGATATAGAAAATCAAATAAAAATAAGACTGTTTCAAAATAGTTTGTTAGTTGTTCAATACTGAATATAACAACCTCATAATAAATTCTGCACAACATTGACCGTTTTATATTTCTTTTTAATATTCCTTTAAATTTTATTCGTCAATTTCATCATTTGGTCTTTTTGAACTGTTCTATACACTTATAATAATAACCTTTTTGGTTTCAGAACTTTAATTTGTACTCTCGTTTGTTTTCTCTGAGCTAATACATGTGACGATTGGGACAAATGCAGATTTGTGTTAGATTTTACTGATTGACAGATAACATTAAAAATAAGTGTACACCTTTTCATAGAAATTTTAGTACAACTAAATATGTTCTATCATTATTCATATTCAGTAATTTTACTCTAAACAGCAATATACATTAAACACAGCGATATGAATAAAGTTTATTCACTCTTTATGGATTTACACTAACAATTTATGAATATATATTGGATACTGACATCGTGGTAATTATAAAATGGTAATCAGACATTTACAGAAACAATCAGTGTAAAACTTGAATATTTATTGATTTGAGCTTGGTCAATATGACTGGTTTTGAGTTATTTCAAATGAAATAACTCAAAAAAAGATTACGGTTATTTAATGAACTTTAAGAACTATCGACACAGTTCAGACAAACAGCTGATGATTTTAAAACTTTGTAACAGATCATGAATACATAATCAAAAGGGTTTTGTGGAGATTGTAGTAATTTCAATAGTTGAGATCATGAGTTAATTGAAGCTAGACCACCATGGAAAACCTGGAAACACTGCTACAATCTCCACAAGACCCCTTCTGATACTAATCAACATATGCTCACTAGTGACTGGCATAAAGATGTATATCCTGAAGTTCTAGTGAGAAGCAGTGACCAGTGGAGTTTAATCGAGTAAATTGTGAGATAGTAACTCACTGATGACAATGGTGGATTAGTTGAAGTTAGACATTAACACCGTTGGATGCCTGCTCAGCGGTTTAGATGTTAAACGTTCGCGCGCGAGACCGATAGGTCCTGGGTTCGAATCTCGCAGGGAGGGGTCGTGAATGCGCACTGCTAAGAAGTCCCACAACAGGACGAAACGGCCGTCCAGTGTTTCCAGGTTTTCCATGGTGGTCTAGCTTCAATTATATCATGATCTCAACTAGTGAGAATACATAATAATACGTTTTCAACATTTAGAAAACTATGAATAACTACTTGGGTGTTATGACAATGAACTTTGACGTATACTTCAACTAGGATTTCTTCTAATGATTGATTAGTGGTATTGAAAGGTAAAGAACCATGCTTTTTAGATCAGAAAAAAGTTATAAAAAAACTCAGATTTCAACTTATTTTATACGATGAATATGATTGACACGAAAAGGGGCACAAAACAATGTCACTCTAATTGAGTTTCACAGAATGTAGTCATGATACAATAATCCAAGCCTTTCGTATAAGTGCATCAGTAAATTAGTGCTATTCAGGAGCATTCGAAGTGAATTAAAACAAATTTGAAACACGTAAAGTAGTCCTAATACTTGGATATTTGGAGATTGAGGCAAGCTGTCAGTGTGTACATTTTTCGTCCCATGGTATTCTTCATATTCGAAAAATTCTGGGACTGACATTTATTTAATTACAGTTGATTATATACAGATCATTTAACAGAATTTTCGAAAAAAACAATAAACTTAGTAATTTTCACAGATTGAAATCACGAGTCAGTTGAAGCTAGACCACCATGGAAAACCTGGAAGCACTGGACGGTCGTTTCGTCCTAGTATGGGACTCCTCAGCAGTGCGCATCCACTATGGGCTCGAACCCAGGACCTACTGGCTTCGCGCGCGAGCACTTAACCATTAGACCACTGAGCCGGCATCCAATGGTGTTAATGTCTAACTTAGTAGACAGCAAGCAAAATTTCAAAGTCTCGACTTGTTTACAATGTTTTGCAGAGAAAGATTGCTTTAGCACTTTCATGTTTTATTATATCTAGGTATCTGAGCTTTGGTAAAACTTAGAACAAAGCGTTTTATCTGACCGAGGACGAGTGAACGCATCAGAAAATGGACAAGGACTCGCACCTAATGTCAACGAAGCAAGGCCCACCAACACGATTCATCACATCTGGGAAGTTTTAAACATCTGATAGACCTTTTTAACATCTCAACATAGAAATTTTCGGCCCTCTTCCACTATCTAAATCATTAACGCACATGTTTGCTGTGATGAATTGTTTCATCAGATAGGCGCAAATGACATTCAAAAAATTAACTGCTTCACTATTTTTCGACCACTATATTTCTGACATCGGCATCCCAATAACCACTACCAAAGACCGTGATTCACATTTTCAATCAACAATTCTCAATGAATTTACTTGACGCTTAAGAGTACAGCACATAACAACAACAGTCTATCACCTAACAGCTAACGTTTCAGTAGAAGAATTTCACAATCAAATAAAAAGATTGCTGATGTCACAGGCTGAAAAAACGAAATGAATTGACGCCTTAACTCTTAGTTTCCTTGGAATCCAATCAACGATTAAAGAAGACAGGATGGATTAAAACCAAATTGATTTATTGTACAACACTAATCATGCCAGAACAGCTAGTCAGTAACGACGATGAAATTCAAAGATGATACATCTAATTTTCCACAAACTACTCAATAACTGAAACGAATTACCCTGAGTTCAAACATTTAAAAACGCGTAAATTCATTTTTTGCCGGCGTTTATGTAATTACAACACCAACGGATTTGGTATTTTTACCCAGTATCTTATGCCTACAGGTTTCATTGTTCATTATATCGTCGCATAATACATGAGCAATGTTTTGAAGATACCCATGAATAAAAGCCGACAGCCTACTTATTTGTTCAAAATTTATAAACCACGTTCTGATTTAATAGGGTAATACAGAGGGAACTGCTGAGCAATACATCCATCCTTTGGTTGGCAAAAGTCAAGAGAGCTTTCGAGATCCGTTCCAAGATGTTATCAGACACAAACTTACCAGGGCTGATGAAACTCTTTAGGTTAAAGGTTTCCGGATAATTGCCTCTAGTTACATCACAATGGTAAAACACATACAATAAAATATAAAAGCCTGCTAAGGAGAGGAACCAAAGAAAGGTTATCAATTTTACAAAGAGTAAACTAGGAATATTTAATTGCTTTTAAATTATTGGATTATAATGGACTAAGAAGAGAAAGTAAATATTACTAAGGAAAAAATATGACATATTTCTAGTTCTTAGATATATATTATTTTCCTGAAGAGTATCGAACCAGATGATCCCCGGAAGATAATATGAAGCTAATTTATTTTAATCATTAAGATCTTTAAAAATGTAAATTTACATATAATAACATAGCTACTAATATCTAAAACCAGAGATAAAGTGCAATTTAGATGATTATCAGTACATTAATATAAATAAGGATTAACCTAAAATAAGTGACCAATACCAAAACAAAGTCAAGTAAGATGGGTACAAGGATATTTGTACATTGAACAAGAAAACAAAAAAAACATTTACATAATTCGTACTGTAAACATGCTGAATAATATTAATGCAGTTGAATGAAAAGGAAAGAAAAGTAAACAGAAAATCGTTACAACAATAATCAGAATTGTCAAATTATGAGTATCAACTAAAACATGCAGCTAGTCAACTTGCGTTGAAATATTAACATTTTCATTTCTATTAAATCTTTGGTAATCTTTTAACGAAGTATTAGCTTATATTATGAATTTAATAAAGACCATAAAGGCAAGAAATCGTAGATTTAGTAGGTTTTAAACTATTAGTTAACCGATGTACGAGTAAATCAATAAAAGTTAGGAGTAGCCAAACTGGAACGTGTTATCAGTCTATGAACCTATTGACTGTTGAACTGAGCCATATTTGTGGATGTAGATTATCTAGCTAGTGACGGTGTAGTAGCCGAGATCAGTAGTTGGAGACGTCGGGTGATATAGTTCAGAATTAGCTACAATGAAGCAAATGTATACACAATTTACCTTACTCTAGATCCCCAGTTCCAATGACCTTCATATATACTTTCTTACTCTGTCTTTTAGATGAATATTCTCCATATTCAACATCTCGTCATCACCATTAATATATTATTTCTATTATTTTCCTATCGATCTTATTAATCTCATCTCATTAAGCTAATGTAGTATGGCAAATTGGACCAATGAACAATTGTACTAGGCTCTATGTTGATTATGACTGACATTAAAAAAATTAGTCGAACAATATAATTTCTTCAACTAAATGATAAGGTCCTCCTGTTCATTAGTCACAGTATGAATAATTCATTCATTAGCATGCTGCAAGCGAGCATCTATTTACAAGTATGATATTCATGTAAGAAAAACTTCAGCTGAATGACTGACGCACTAACGAGCAACATAAAATATTTCAAAAGAGGAGAAAGACTGAACAGAATATATATATAATGCAAAAATATCACTGATATAAAGATACTGGGTAAACAACAAAGAAACTAGTTATACTAGGATAATGAACATTAGAATACCTAGGTAAAATTGACAATATGTATAATATGAACATTAGAAAGTCACATGCACATTTTAGAAAGAGAGAGATAAGTAACCACTACATACCGGACATGATAACAAAACATGAACCACAACTTACTTGATATCGTTTATCAGTGATAAGCTAAATATTAAGCAGTATATTATAATAGATGGTACATTTTTAAATAAGAGCAATCCTTAAGAGAAAAAATGAGCTAAAGTGTAAAGAACATTATGAATAAGAAACAAGTGTTAGGGGTATAAAATCAATATTCTGAGGAGTTAACATTCACAAAAAAGCATTGCTGTTATCAATAGCAGAATTTTAACTTCGTTAAACTGCCTCTAAATATAATATATATGTTATATCCGAGCGAAGACTAAACTACGGGTAACTTCCGAGGACTATTAATGAACTAATATTCTATAAATATTCTTATTGTATAACTATTCAATAATTACATTATGTATATTTATATTCCCCTTATTATAAGCTTTATTTTGACCTATAATTTATTATTGTACGATTTACGGTTCAGTTTATTAACTACTGCCTCCCACATTCACAGCCACTTTTTGGCTTATTTGTGTACCCATATTATTTTCTATTTTATGGTAGGTTGTGGTCTGTCTGATTGATATATAAACCGAGTATGTCTGAAATAAACGATTCGATTCATATTGCGGAAGCTAGCATTGTGTTTTGGACTCAAGCAGACGGGCTAGAAGGACCATGTACCAATAAGGCGCTAGACTGCCCACACCGGTTGAACGTCATTGGTTGGCATAGTGTGAAGGTTCGTACAAGTCGTATTCTGATTGATGGATAATTCGTGTGATAGAAAAGCCAGACACCAAGGTCATAACAATATAGTGAATGATTTTGAGGAATTTCCAAAACTTGATGATAAACTGACTATATTTACAGAATACAGTATGTGGGAAAGGGTAACCATGTTTTGTATAATTCAACTGAGGTATGGAAATACCTTTGTATAAGTTATTTCATCACTTACAACTCATTTACTGAAAGACATTTTTTAGATAAAGCGCTATTTAAACCGTTTATACTCTTGAACTTCTCTATTCACACTTTGATTCATAGAAGATACTCGAATCATTAGGTACTGAGGTACTGAACGCTACTTACAGGTTTTTTGTAAGTAGTATATAGTGGAACGTGGAGTCGAAGTTGCAACAATCGTCAGACGGAATGAAGAGTTTGTGAACATCGAAAGCAAGGTGTTGGCAGACGAAACGACAGTTCATATGGCAAACACGACGAAAGATGAAAATGGACGATTGAAGGCTATGCATATGTATTATGTAAATATTTTGTAACTTCTCCCTACAAATATACGTTCTTCCCGTCTATTATCGTATTTTACACTACTTTTTCGAAGGGAAAACAGTTTGGAAAAGTTAAAACTGAGTAATATTGAGCTTCCTAGTAAGACAAGTTAGATGTAGACCATTATATAATCTTGAATTGTTGTAACAGACAACACAACATATCTTCGAAGTAATCATGTTTAGAAGAGAAAAATACAAAAAAAATTAAGAGTAACGACTAACTATTGATGAAAAAGCACAATATTTCGTAAAGTAACGGGTGAAAACATGATAGAATGGATTTTCGTGGTTGTTACCTAGGAAAATGCTGGTTGATTTGTTTCCTTCATATTAATCACTAATCACGTATATACATCACAGCAACTATAATTTTCATGGAATTATAATTTGCTCGAAATGTTCGAAATGTATAGCGCAAATACATCACATTTTTCAGACCAACTCCGTCTTCTCATTGTTCTATCGAAATTTATAATTTGCACAATATAATCCTTACGAACAGACATTGTACTGGATAAAGTAATGAGTCACCAATGGATTTTGTTATAAAGTAGGTGTTCACGAAATACGTATTATACTCTCACTAAATAATCCGAGCATTCAATAGCGAAACACTGGACATAGACTAGAACAAGAGTTTATTGACATAAAAGTACAAACGGTAGAGGTATTATATACGATATAAATAGACACATACTTCTTGATCAATCATAAGTCACACTTTGGTTGAACATAACGGATTGGTTTAAAGTAAGTTGCAATTAAAATGAGCTTTGTGGAGATTGTAGTGATTTTAATAGTTGAATTCATAATAATCATTATATGCTCACTAGTGACTGGCATCAAGATGGATTTCTTGGAGTTCTCGTGAGAAACCGTGACCAGTGGAGTCCAATCAGTGTCGGGTAGAGACAGGTATCTACCTCAGGCAATAGACGATTAGTTGCGTAAGATCATGAATCGATTGAAGCTAGACATTAACACCGTCGGATACCGACCAGCTCATTGGTCTACAGGCTAAGCATTCGTGCGCGAGACTGAAGGCCCTGAGTTCGAGTCCTGCATGCGAGGTTGTAGATGCGTACCGACAGGGAATCCCATACTAGAACCAAAACGACCGTCCAGTGCTTCCAGTTTTCCAATGGTGGTCTAGCTTAAATAGACCCATGAATTCAACTATAAAAGTAAGTTGGTAATTGTTGTAGAACTGTGAAATACGTACCCTAGATGTATAACATATATATCATATCACTGAAAAGACGTGATGGACAACACTTTGGTAAATTATTAGCAACATTATTGTGTAACCTGCTTATGTTGACAGATATAAGTATTATGCAACAGCAATCGGTAGTGGAACGCCTGACAGCAAAAGATTGAATTGAAGAGAAACATAAAGCAAATGGAATAACAAAAAATTGGAGGAATTATGAAGTATGTAAAGGACAACTGATGAAAAATGTGCAAATAATGTATTCAATGCATGATTTCCATATTTTACGGAAGCACTGTATGATTTTGTTCGCAACAATATAACATATAAAACTGTCATCAATACTGCTATTTGATCATTTGTATTCTATGAATTAAAAGATTGCGAATATTTTCCAAGGGGTTTTTGAGATTGACACCAAACCCACTTTCGACTTCAGTTAAACAATCAATACGTATAATGAATAATGTTAATTTATAAAAGGGAACAATATTGTATTAGTTTCCTAAAACTTCACTTTAACCATATAATAAACAGAATTAACGTATTAACCCATATACTTGAGATACTGCATACATGTATGCAGCGCACATCACGCTTCATCTTTTTTTACATAAATAATCACATGATAAATTGAAAAAGATCATAAGAAAAGGAAAGATTCTTGAAAAAATATGAACGATTGATTGGCTAATTATTATTACTAATAAACTGCACTACTACAATTACAAACCAGGCAATACAGTTCTGTGAATTTCTACTTTTATAATTTATTTAGCGTGGGATAAATAGAATCTACGGTTAGTAAATAGGTAGCAATAAATGGTGAAATTATATTTAACTAATCTGTATTATAAATAGAACTTTCTATTACATTCCCGTCATAACACTATGAAACATAAAACAATTAATTTCATCAATAAATTTACATAATGTAAAATCAGAAGATTCAAGTCATGCGATTTCTGAATAATTTAAGCGTATACCGACTTAAGATAATTATGTAAGGCGTAGAACGTATAAAACAAATAAATTACAATCATTTAAGTAGGATTGAAACACCTATTGCTGTCTAAGACTAGAGAACTGATGTAAAAAAAGATTCTGAAAGGTTTGCGTTGTCCCGATGGTACTCAGAACTGAACTTCATTAATATCCAATGTCATAGGAGCATGATTGGCGGATATTCCCTATAGTTACAGGTTTCACTATCTTATATCAAATGGAATTTGAAAAACGTTAAACTTTCAGAACTATCCTACGCGAAACTACGATTTATACTTTCACTGTATAGTTTTTAAATACTTAGACCATCAGTTTTTACATTTACTTACGCCTGTTACTCCCAATGGAGCATAGGCCGCCGAACAACATTCTCCAACCCACTCTGTCCTGGGCCTTCCTCTCCAGTTCTATCCAATTGTTGTTCATTCTTCTCATGTCTATCTCCATTTCTCGGCGTAATCTGTTCTTTGGTCTTCCTCTCCTCCTTCGGCCTTGAGGATTTCATATGAGAGCTTGTCTTGCGACGCAGTTGGGTACTTTCCTCAATGTGTGTCCTATCCACTTTCAGCACTTCTTCCTCATTCCTTCCTCCACTGGTATCTGGTTTGTTCTCTCCAACAGTAGATTGTTGTTGATAGTGTCAGGTCAACGGATTCGAAGTACTTTTCTTAGACAACCGTTAATAAACACTTGTATCTTCTGTATGGTCGTTTTCACAGTTCTCCAAGTTTCTCCCCATACAGTAGAACTGCCTTGACATTTGTATTGAAAATTCTGACTTTGGTGTTGATTGACAGTTGTTTTGAGTTCCAGATGTTCTTCAGATGTAGATATACTGCTCTTGCTATGTCGATTCGCGCCTTCAGATTTGCATCAAATCCACCGTGTTCATCAATGATGCTGCCCAGATATGTAAAGTACTGCCATATTATCCTATTTATGAGATTTCGTTTAATGTATTAATTGTAGGTATATATTTTATCATTCCTAAATTGACGTTAATTGTTTATTCCTCTATTATTCCGATTGTTTATTGCGTATGACACAGTTATGTGTACATGATAATTTCTCATTTGTGCTAATGTGTTGTCAAGTAATTAATGTATACAATTCCATAATGTCTGAGTTATGATGACAGTATAAGGAACCTGTTTGCTAACCTCGTCATATTATTGGAAACTGGGTTAGAAGCTCGTAAACCAGTATGTATTAGATTTTCTGTCATTGAGTTATTGATCAGATCATCGTGTTGTTGGCTAAACAGGTCATGGTCCCATAACCAATAAAGAAATGAGTTGGTAGACAGCTCGATAATACAACTGCTTCTATAATACACGGCCTAATCATATAAATATGATAATTTATTGCTTTTGAACTCATAACAATCATTGGGGGATTAAGGTTGGCAGTAGAATTTAGTCGCCAATAACGACAATCAGAAAACATAAGCCTTTGTGAACATTGTTGATGATGTACAATCCTCCAAATATAACTTATGAGAAAGGATACCAATGTCGATTTACGACGAGTATAAGGTTAACTTTCAAAAAATTACTTTACAAACTTTCAGT